CATGCTCAGTACTGTAGTACTTTAGTGCCTTTCAGCAGTGCACTAAGCAATGTGCCTAACAGCTATCATGCGTGGTTTGTCACACTGCACAGCACCGTAGGCCAGGAAGTGAAGAATACAGCATCCAGTTGAAAAGGTGCTGGCAGTTACCCAGCCTGGAGTCTGGCTGGGTCACTGATGTTTTTGTGCATTCCTGACTCTTTCAAAAAGTACTCTGGGACCTTGAATGGCCATAAGTAACCAGAGTCTCAGTTTAAAGCGTCATTTAAAGGATGGCAGGTGCACAGTGTTCCCTCCCGTCATCTAGGGGCATCAGTTCAGTCTCAATGCAACAGGAAGCGCTCTGCCTGCTCGGAAGTCAGCATCACTTCCTTCAGCATCTTGGATGTTCCCTGCAGGTCCCCCCGCTGAATGCTGGCCATTTGCTGAGATTGTAACACCCCGGTGGTTGCCTGTGGTTTATCTGGGTAAAAAGAGAAGCGCAGTCGTGTCTGCTGCTTTGCTGTGTGGGGATCCAAGTTTCAGACTGAAGCTGACGCAGGAGGAAGGGACTGGGACAGAACATGGAAAGACCACTGAATGCAGGCTTCACCTCCCTTTCTCTCAAGCATCCCTTCTCCCCTTTGGCAGATGCTCAGAGCAGCAGCGACAGGTGTGAGGAAAGCTCCTTCTAAGTCCTTGGCGTGGATGGAAAGGCATATCCTAGAGAACCCCACTGTCATAAATATAAAGGGAAGGGTAAACCCCTTTGAAATCCCTCCTGGCCAGGGGAAAGCTCCTCTCACCTGTAAAGGGTTAAGAAGCTAAAGGTAACCTCGCTGGCACCTGACCAAAATGACCAATGAGGAGACAAGATACTTTCAAAAGCTGGGAGGAGGGAGAGAAACAAAGGGTCTGTGTCTGTCTGTATGCTGGTTTCTGCCAGGGATAGACCAGGAATGGAGTCTTAGAACTTTTAGTAAGTAATCTAGCTAGGTATGTGTTAGATTATGATTTCTTTAAATGGCTGAGAAAAGAATTGTGCTGAATAGAATAACTATTTCTGTCTGTGCATCTTTTTTGTAACTTAAGGTTTTGCCTAGAGGGGTTCTCTATGTTTTTGAATCTAATTACCCTGTAAGATATCTACCATCCTGATTTTACAGGGGGGATTTCTTTATTTCTATTTACTTCTATTTTTTATTAAAAGTCTTCTTGTAAAAACTGAATGCTTTTTCATTGTTCTCAGATCCAAGGGTTTGGGTCTGTGGTCACCTATGCAAATTGGTGAGGCTTTTTATCCAACATTTCCCAGGAAAGGGGGGGTGCAAGTGTTGGGAGGATTGTTCATTGCCCTTAAGATCCAAGGGTCTGGGTCTGTAGTCACCTAGGCAAATTGGTGAGGCTTTTTACCAAACCTTGTCCAGGAAGTGGGGTGCAAGGTTTTGGGAAGTATTTTGGGGGGAAGGACGCGTCCAAACAGCTCTTCCCCAGTAACCAGTATTAGTTTGGTGGTGGTAGCGGCCATTCCAAGGATAACGGGTGTAATATTTTGTACCTTGGGGAAGTTTTGACCTAAGCTGGTAAAGATAAGCTTAGGAGGTTTTTCATGCAGGTCCCCACATCTGTACCCTAGAGTTCAGAGTGGGGGAGGAACCTTGACACCCACAAATTACAGCAGCCCCCAGTATACCAAGTTCCATGACAAGTGCTGATGTTGGGGTCTTTTAAGTCCCCATGAGGTAAGTGGATCTTCGATCAGTAGCGTGGGTATGTTTTTTCCACACAAGGGGTTCTGGCTGGGAGAGGTTAGTGTTGGCACCACATCAGTAGATGAATTTAATCTTGTTATGAATATTCAGCTGCTTACATGCAGTGACCATTTTCCTTGGAGCCTGAAAACTGTTGTGGCCACAGCAGGCTAGATGTGGGTTATTTCTCTGTGGTCCTTCTGGCTCTGAGCGCACAGAAACAATTGGGGGAAACTCCAGTTTATGGGCAATGCAATTTATTTTATGATCAAATTACACCAGGGTAATGCCGCCTCTTGCATTAGACAATTCAGTTCCAGTAATTGCTACCCTGGGGGTCTCTTCTCCTCTCCATATACCCAGCCCATTTATAACACTAATGGCAGTAATGTGAGAGGAGAAGGAGGATAATAGACCTTAAATAGCAGCAACATCATGCTGGAGGAAAGAGAGGGCTTTGCTTTTATATTTCTATGTCCAATTCTGGGCATCACACTTTAGGAATGATGTAGAAAAATTGGAGAGAGATTCCAGAGAAAAGCAAAAACATGGTAAAAGGTTTAGAAAACCTAACTTAATGAGGAAAGCTTTAAAAACCTGGGCATGTTTAATCTTGAAAAGAGAAGGCCAAGGTGGGATCTGATAACAGAATATGTTCAGGGCTGTCAAAGAGGAGGGAGAGCAATGGTTTTCCATGTCCTGAAAGTTAGGACAAGAAGTAATGGGTTTAATCTGCAGCAAGGGAGATTTAGGTCAGGTAGCAGGAAAATCTTTCTAACTGTAAGGTTAGTTCAACTCTGGACCAGGCTTCCAAGGGAGGCTGTGGAATCATTGGAGGTGTTTAAGAACAGGTTGGACAAACACCTGTCAGGGAGGGTCTCGGGTTACTTGGTCCTGCCTCAGTGCGGGGGGCTGGACTTGATGAAACCCAAGGTCCCTTTCAGCCCTGCATTTTTGCGATTTTTTAGGTTTCAGTTGAATATGAAGCTATAAAAAATAGGTGCTGCAATGTGAGCTGGGCACATTGGGTCATTTTCTCAGTGTGCGCGCGCTCGGCATCGGCTGTCATATGTGAAAGTGCATCTTGTCTGCATGCATGACCACCACGTATTCCCATTAGCAGACAGCACCAGCAGGTTGAGACTTGTGTGTGAGCGCACGTGCAATGATCGAGTTAGCAAATGTAAAGGCATGCTTGTGTGTGTGAAAAACGCATGCAACCTGCAAATAACTGGGGTAGGGGTGGGGGTGGGGGGGAGGGAATGAAAAAGATTTCACCTTTTCCTGACCCAGACAGTTCGCGGCAGAACCTGAAACAGAACCAACGAGGCCTTAAATGCAGCTCTCTGCAACGTGCGCTGCAACAATCCTGACCTTACAAATGGTATACAGTCAGTCACGTGTACAAAATGCACTAAGCAGAAAAGGTTAAAATCTCTGGAGGTAAAGAGAAAATGTCTGAAACTCTCCAAAGTACAAAAAGACAGCGTCCCCAAATTAAATCTGGATTTACTGAGTAATCTCCTGGGTTGTTTAGTACAAGTGATAAGGGTCCTCTAAACCCTTCAGCTGCATGAATTTGTTTTCTGACAGACATCAAATTAGGATCCAAATTTCTTCACTCTTGCACCATATTAGGTGTATGTTTCCCCAGCTGCCTCCTGCTCACTCTGGCTACACTAGCAAGGTCTCCTGTAACCTTAACCAAATCCTGCATGATGCATGGAGCTCATCATTGTGTTAGATGGAACAGGTGAAACAAGATTCCTTCTCTGAAGCAACTAATATCTATATACCAATGTTCACATCTACTCCTCCTCTTTACTCACTTTTGTGTTTGCGAGCAATTTGTAATGTGATTTTTTTCTGCCTTCCCCCCATTCCCCTTCATAACAAATGTTTCTGGCAGCCGGCAGGACCATAATTCAAACAAGATAAGGCCTCAGATTGTCGCTTTTTTAGTTCAATATATTTAACAAAATACGGTGTATAAATCAAACTCTACCCTCCAGCAACAAAGTTGGGGGAAATACTGTCAAGTATTTCTCTTCATCTTAGAATACAAGGAGAGTGAGAAGGGACTGGAACAAGAGCAGATTTTTAAAGGAAAAAAGTCTTTACCTTGCATAATTCTCTCGATTTATATTTATTAATGAGTAACCAGTTTGGGATCTGAACATGGTATTCCTCAAAAGTCTGCCCTGAGGAAAGTGTTTGTGATTACACCAGATAAATAAAGGATGAGATTTCCAAAACCAGCTTGCAGGTTCTAGTCACAATTTCCATTATAATATTATTCATTATAACAATCAAAGTTGATGGGCTTAGATTGTGAACACTTTGGGGCAGTGTCTGTCTTTTTATTGTGTTTGTACAGCGCCTAGCACAATGAGGTTCTGGTCTATGACTGGAGCTCCTAGACACTCCCACAACACAAATAATAAATAATAATAATAATGCACATGATTGTCCAAAGTACTAAGTTCCCATTGACTTCAGCTGGTCTGGTGTTCAGCACTGCACAATATCAGGCACTGTCTAGTCTACCAATGCATTCATGCCTCTCTCATAATTGTGGTATCTGAAAGCCTGGATGTCAATGGAATTACTCTAGGTTTATACCATTACCAAGAATAGTATTTGACCCTAAGATATTTCTTGTGACTCCAGCACATTTGAACTGGACATCGCTGAGGGAATAAATATGGACCCAGACACTGGCAGTTTTAAAGACTCACTTGTCTGACCTTAATTTCACTTAACCGACAAACACCCTTCTGCCGTGAATTCAGGGTGACCATAAGAGAGAGCTGCCCCCTCAGAGCATTTTGGCAGCTGAGTTCTGCACGTATCTGAACACTCGCAGGAGACCAGCAAACAAGGAGTTACCATGCCGTGAGGAGGACACAATGAAAAGCATGTCAGAAAATCTCCATGTGCCAGAGAAACAGCACAGGTCACAGGCTATGAAGATTTCCGAGATAGAAGTATGTCAACAATTTTAGGGTCTAATTAATACTGTCCTCAGGAGAAATCAGAACTGAACATAATGCCAAGGTTACTGGGAAGAGGATGAACATGAATGGTCAAAAGCAAACAATCATGGAGGACAAAAAATAAAGTCTTGATGAAAGGAACCAATAAAAAATAGCCTGGCCTTATCAGTGTTTGATCATGAGAATTAGATATTCAGCTTTGTGAATTAGAAACAGTGAAAACCTGATTCCATCCATGCAATATGGAGTAATGAAGGCCTTCTCTCACCTGTGTATTTGCTTTCCTGGGTCGGTAGCTCCATAGGTGGTACACAGGAGGAGAGGCTGTGGGGTCTGGGACATTCAGCGTGAGGCAGGAATTCTGTTGCAGAGCTGTAGGACCTTGGGTAAGTTCCTTAACCTCTCTTTACCTCAGTTTCCAGATCTCTGAAACGGAGATAATAAAGTCCACCTCTGTCAGATGTGATGCGGTGAAGGTTGAGTAGCTAATCAACTGCAAAGCTCTGCGAGGTTGCACAGCTTAGCGCCTCAGCTGCTGCAACTCTGAGTAGCCTGCCGAGTTCAGCTGAGCTGCACAGATTTTTACCATCTGACCCAGGAGACGCCTGTCTCGGTCACCCGTCTTGGGGAGAGTCTGAACACCTGAAGTGCCATATAGCGTGCTGTGGGGGCCATATCCTTTACGTGAGGGAAACCAACACTCCACGTGATGTTGAAAACTAGTCCTGACCTATTTTAAATATTTTAAATAAAAGGTGCTGAAAATGGGGCAAGAATCTCTCTCTCTCACACACGTACACACGGTTTGGTTTGTGCACTGATTGTGTGAATGTTCATATGTGAAATAAAACCAGTTTCTGTAGGCAAAGAAGTGTCATTTTGACAGAAAAACAAAGTCTGAGGTAAATTCTTAAACATACAGGGCTTTACCAAGAGTAAGTATTATGCTAGTTTTTCTGGAAAAACAACATTAAAAAAACAAAACCAAGAACCACCCACAATGTGTTTGCAGGAAGCAAGGATGAAAGGATGAAATTCACGACTACTAGTGAAAACACACAGAGCTCACATTTGAAATCTCTCAAAGGGTGAAATTTGCTGCAGTGCAGATGACCTGAACAAAGCCTATGCACCACATAAGTCCTACTTGAGGCTTGTTTTGAAGGTGTTCTTTGTGCTCGCCCCTTTGCACAGAGATGAATTTTACCCAAAGTGGAAATGAAATCTCTGTGTGCAGCGACTCCAATGACTGCCCGTTCATCACAGAGTATGTGTCACACCACGGGAGGGCTGGTTAAGCTGAGAACGCTGATGGCCACCGAAGTGGGACAAAGCCCTAACACTAGCAGACTTTGTACCAGGAAAGAGCTTGCATAGCTTTAAACTGTGCTAACTCTAGGCAGTCTCTGCAACTTCACTCCTGTCTGGTTTCACACCGATAGAAGAGGGGAGAACATGACAAATAACCCAGGCAAGAGGATCAGTGAAAGTCAGAGCTGTTTTTAATTCATTAGTCAGTCTGAACATCAAGGGTCCAGGTGATCAGTTCTGAAAAAATTTGGGCCATTAAGAAATATTTCAATTCAGTGCCCAATATATTTGGGACTAAAACTGGATGGACTTTAGTGGTATCTTCTCTTCTTACTCCTGCGATAATGCATTGATTTATTTCTTTGCTATATCCTCAAACCCTGGGATCTGAGTGTGCTTATTAAAAATACAACTCAATCGGACATTGGATTCAGTTCAGTTCATACCGCACTGGTGCCTCAGCTCTGTTTAGAACAGGAAGTACATAGATCAAAAGGAAAAGAGAGAGGATCCTGAAAGACCATCATTCATTGTTTCAGTTTTTCTCTCCCCTGCACCACCCTGGTTTTATTCCGCACTCTGTCAAACAGGGACCATGGGGTCAAATTCTCTGGTGTGCTACGTTCACTTTGCACTGCTCAAGCTGGCCAGAGAAGGCTAGCAGAGCATTCCCCATGTGTTGAGGAACACTCCACATATGTAAAGATGGCAAGAGCGGCGTAGCTGCCTTCTTCACCCGCAGCATACAGCGTGCTGTGTCAGGGATGGAGGGACATGCTGGGGGCAGGGAGGGATTTCCTGGTGGCTGACCTCTCATTGCTCCTAGGCATTGTTCAGACAGGTGAGAATCTATCCCCTTGTCTAGCATATTCTATTGCTACCACAATAATAAATACCAGAGACAGGAACAGTAAAAGATGGAGCCGCCTAGAGACTGGGTGAAATTCACCCCTGTCCAGCAGGCCAGCCCAGGCCCTGTGCACTGCTCAGATCCCACAGACATGCCCACTCCTTTTGTTGGCCCCCTGCACAGGGCTGAATTTCACCCCAAACACACAGTGCTGCAGTCTTGCGTGGGGCCCAGTAGGCTGGAGGTGGACCCTATTGCTCCCTAGCAAGCAGTGCTGGAGATGCGTCTTTAATAGCAATGTGCAAGTTAATCCAAGAAAAATAAATGGGTAACTCACTGGGACTTTCACCAAATGCCTTCTGGACTCTAAACCCTTGCAAGTGCCAGGCAAGCTACAACAGCAGATCCACTAGGAACCCCACGAGGGCTTTTCTCTGAGCTAAATATTGTCTCTGGCATGCTGCATCCTTGTTTGTATTTCCCTTTCTTTACTTTATGTGCTTTCTAGTATGGATGCGTTGCACACAGCTATGCCCTCGCAGTCCATGTCTCTCATGCTTTCCTGCCTGTCATTATCTCACTCTACCTTTCATGGTCTCTTTTATCCGGGCTCTCTTCCAAGCCTTTTTGCTTTGATCTGGCCCATTAAAGTCAATGATCTATTTTGGGAGCATCATTTCAAATGCCTTCAGATCCTTTCTGCCGTCTCCCGGGTCTGCAGCGCAGAGCCACACATGACTGCTGCTGGAGGCGCTTCCTATGAAACTGGCAGGGGCCACACCCTGCTCTTCAGGGATTACTTTGGTATCTCCTGAGTTAATTCCAAGCCGATAGAACTCCTGATATTTCAATGTGAAAAGAAGCAGGCAAAGACACACCACCTGGGGGAAATTATTTTTTAACACGCTTAATTCCTCAGCGATATTATAAATCAAAGGAAACTAAAGAATGCTAATGTGGCTTCCAGTGGCATGGCTGGATTGGGTGGACACTTTACTGTTTACATTCTGACAGGTTTCAGAGGAACAGCCGTGTTAGTCTGTATTTGCAAAAAGAAAAGGAGTACTTGTGGCACCTTAGAGACTAACCAATTTATTTGAGCATGAGCTTTCGTGAGCTGTACAGCTGTAGCTCACGAAAGCTCATGCTCAAATAAATTGGTTAGTCTCTAAGGTGCCACAAGTACTCCTTTTCTGTTTACATTCTGTAACCTTGGCTTTATTCCTCAAGGTGACAGCTTGGATGAGTTACACTGTGTTTTAGAGCTGGTATTTTTTTCATCCCCTAAAAATGTCTTAAATTGGATGAGGCATTTTTTATGATGTCCCTGGAGAGATTTCTAATAGCATCTTAGCTTTCTAAAAACTATTGTAGTTTCATATTTATTCTGACAAGATTATTTAAACTATTCATATTATTATGCATTATTATTGTGCCCAGATACTGATATACCATTATGTTCAGTTCTGCACAGACAGCCCCTTCCTTGAAGAGTTTACATTACAATCTAAACAGACAGGACAGACAAAAGGTAGAAGAAAGTACGTCTCATTATCCCCATTTCTCAGCTGGGGAACTGAGGCACAGAGATATTAAATGACTCGACCAGGGTCACAAAGGGACTCTGTAGCAGAGCCAGGAATTGAACCCAGATTTCCTGAGTCCCAGTCCAGTGCCTTCACAAATCCTTACGAAGCAAGACCCCAATCCTGAATAGGCTCAACGGTCTGTCTTCATGGACCCAGCTGAAGGTTTTGGCTTGGAGGCAAAACTCATTCAGGCCATTAATGATTTGTTAATGAGCGACTCCAGCTTGCTCACTCTTTTTTGGAGCTGGGTGGATAATTCATAAAATGTTTATTCAATAAATGTCACCTCTTTTTCAATTTGTCTTTTGCCCACAAAAGCAGATCTTGAATATTATTCATTCGAAATTATTCATCAGATAAGTCAGGCACATCTGAAAAGGGTAAGTTTGCCATTGAGTGGAGCCTCGTGAAACCACACATTGTGCTCCTGCGGTGAGCTGTCCTGCATGGGAGGCGTCTCCGCATTGTCATTTCTCAGTCCATGCTAATAAATGGACACTCAGGACTAGCTTGGGCCGTTGACTTACTGAGCTGAACAGGGAAAAATGGGGAGGTAATGCCCTGCCGCTCCCTGGATAGACTCACCTGGATCTTGCATCTGGGTCTGATGCAGAGCACTGATTCCCTGGGTTCTCCCCCCAAGCAAATAGGCAGGGCGAGTACAGAGACAGGCAGGAGGGGATGGAGTCTTGGCTTGTCCGCTCTCACTCAGAGTAGTCAGGTTCAACAGGGAAATAAACTGCATCCTTTCTAGGAGAGCTGTAATTCCCTCTCCTCTCCTCCCTCCACCCCGAGAAAAAAGGGAAGAAGGGAAACAATAATGTAACAAAGGAATACAGTAGTCTAGCGGTGCTCACTGTCTTCTACGTAATGGTGAAAGCCACAGTAGGTCTATAGGTAGGCCTAGCCTGTTTGCATTCAGCTAGTAAACATGGTTATTCAGAATGTAGCTGCTCCTGTGGTTTCTTCATAGCGTTTCAGTTCCACCAAGAGCCAAATACACAACAAATAGTGACCCATTGAGCCACAGTTCCTTCTGGGGCAGAGCAATTAATGGTTCCCATTACTCAGGGTGTAGCCTAAAGGCTTCACCTAACCCTACATGTACCACCAACAATTTATTACAGTGGAATTCAATGGAAAAGCTCCTGGCCAGAGTCGTTTTCAGAGACAGCATTTATTAATGGTTTAATATTCAGGAGCTGAATAAGATGCTGCTGTGTGCTCAGGAAAACACTTAATTATAATGGAAGGCATTGTAATGGTAAAAGGCCATCTCTGTGCTAACACAGAGTCCTTTCAATAGCCAGAGATTAGTGAAGAGGTTTGGACAGTACATGACACATCCTTAGTAGGTCAATTTACTGTGCACGCAACGAGAAATTGCGCTAAAAAATATTGCTTCCACAGAGAGAAGATTGATCAGGGAAGGGGGGGAAACAACCCTGCCCCCAAGAGCAACTTGAATTTCAGCTCCAATTGTCACTTGTCTGACTCAATGGGGTCCACTTGGCAGCAGAGGAAAATAATGACAGATATGCCTTAACAGCCAGCTCACAACATAAGAGGCTGAGATGGGCATTAAATGACAAACGGAGTTTAGCATTTCCTATCAGAGAAGTTGTGAGGGTTTATTGTCTAACTAAAGTGATCCTGTTAAAAAAGTGAAGTCAATA